ATGTCTAAAACCAGCATCAGGACTAACCAGCCAGACTCAGAGACAGCATCAGGACTAAAACCACCAAACTCAGAGACAGCATCAGGTCTAAAACCACCAGACTCAGAGACAGCATCAGGATTAAAACCACCAGACTCAGAGACAGCATCAGGTCTAAAACCACCAGACTCAGAGACAGCATCAGGACTAAAACCACCAGACTCAGAGACAGCATCAGGACTAAAACCACCAGACTCAGAGACAGCATCAGGTCTAAAACCACCAGACTCAGAGACAGCATCAGGACTCAAACCACCAGACTCAGGGACAGTTTCAGGTCTAAAACCACCAGACTCGGGGACAGTTTCAGGACTAAAACCACCAGACTCGGGGACAGTTTCAGGTCTAAAACCACCAGACTCGGAGACAGTTTCAGGTCTAAAACCACCAGACTCGGAGACAGCTTCAGGTCTAAAACCACCAGACTCAGAGACAGCATCAGGACTAAAACCACCAGACTCAGGGACAGTTTCAGGTCTAAAACCACCAGACTCAGAGACAGTTTCAGGACTAAAACCACCAAACTCAGAGACAGTTTCAGGTCTAAAACCACCAGACTCAGGGACAGTTTCAGGACTAAAACCACCAGACTCAGAGACAGTTTCAGGACTAAAACCACCAGACTCAGAGACAGCATCAGGACTAAAACCACCAGACTCAGAGACAGCATCAGGACTAAAACCACCAGACTCAGAGACAGCATCAGGTCTAAAACCACCAGACTCAGAGACAGCATCAGGATTAAAACCACCAGACTCAGAGACAGCATCAGGTCTAAAACCACCAGACTCAGAGACAGCATCAGGACTAAAACCACCAGACTCAGAGACGGCATCAGGACTAAAACCACCAGACTCAGAGACAGCATCAGGTCTAAAACCACCAGACTCAGAGACAGCATCAGGACTCAAACCACCAGACTCAGAGACAGCATCAGGACTAAAACCACCAGACTCAGAGACAGCATCAGGATTAAAACCACCAGACTCAGAGACAACATCAGGACTAAAACCACCAGACTCGGGGACAGTTTCAGGACTAAAACCACCAGACTCGGGGACAGTTTCAGGTCTAAAACCACCAGACTCAGAGACAGCTTCAGGTCTAAAACCACCAGACTCAGAGACAGTTTCAGGACTAAAACCACCAGACTCAGAGACAGTTTCAGGACTAAAACCACCAGACTCAGGGACAGTTTCAGGTCTAAAACCACCAGACTCAGGAACAGTTTCAGGACTAAAACCACCAGACTCAGGGACAGTTTCAGGACTAAAACCACCAGACTCAGAGACAGTTTCAGGACTAAAACCATTATTGTCATACGTACATAACTACAATGTAGCTATGTACGTATGACAATAAAAGCTGATGTGTGTTTCCTGTATAATAATAAAGGGACTTCCTGTCTTCAGGTGTGCTTCCTGTATAATAATAAAGGGACTTCCTGTCTTCAGGTGTGCTTCCTGTATAATAATAAAGGGACTTCCTGTCTTCAGGTGTGCTTCCTGTATAATAATAAAGGGACTTCCTGTCTTCAGGTGTGCTTCCTCTATAATAATAAAGGCACTTCCTGTCTTCAGGTGTGCTTCCTGTATAATAATAAAGGGACTTCCTGTCTTCAGGTGTGCTTCCTGTATAATAATAAAGGGACTTCCTGTCTTCAGGTGTGCTTCCTGTATAATAATTAGGGATGCACAATATTGGTTTTTTGAAACCGATACCGATAACTTCCTGCTTCTCAAGACCGATACCGATAACCGATAATAATATAATATATATATATATTCAGGGCCGCCCCTGGCCAACTTGGGGCCCCAAGCGACATTGTGAGATGAGGCCCCCCAACCGACAGGAGTGAAAAAAACACTTTTTGGAAACAAAGTAGGCTACTTTGCAAATATAATTCCTGTTTATTATTATTATCAACACTTTTTTATACAGTGAGGTAAATGTGCATGTATGTTGTTCAGTCTGCATTTCCTGCCAAATACTAGCCTCAAAAAGATTAAAATATAATTAATGCAAATAAACAACTTCTACTAATAATAATATTCAATTCAATAATATAAATACTATATTATTTTATTATAATATAGTTGTAATATATTCAAGACAAACATGCTTATGACATGCTCAAAAACTGATATTTCTTAAATCTGTATTCAAACGTAGTTCCCTCTGTCAGCAATGTATCAACAACTACACACACATTGCTATCAGTATTTCTCTGTGTGGTGGTTGACATGATGATGGCTGTTAGGAGTTAAGGGGAGAGGCTGAGCATCACCATGATGATGGCTGTTAGGAGTTAAGGGGAGAGGCTGAGCGTCACCATGATGATGGCTGTTAGGAGTTAAGGGGAGAGGCTGAGCATCACCATGATGATGGCTGTTAGGAGTTAAGGGGAGAGGCTGAGCGTCACCCATGATGATGGCTGTTAGGAGTTAAGGGGAGAGGCTGAGCGTCACCATGATGATGGCTGTTAGGAGTTAAGGGGAGAGGCTGAGCGTCACCATGATGATGGCTGTTAGGGTTCAGTTAAGGGTGGGAGAGGCTGAGCGTCACCATGATGATGGACTGTTAGGAGTTTAAGGGAGAGGCTGAGCGTCACCATGATAGGACTGTTAGGAGTTAAGGGGAGAGGCTGAGCGTCACCATGATGATGGACTGTTAGGAGTTAAGGGGAGAGGGCTGAGCGTCACCATGATGATGGCTGTTAGGAGTTAAGGGGAGAGGCTGAGCGTCACCATGATGATGGCTGTTAGGAGTTAAGGGGAGAGGCTGAGCGTCACCATGATGATGGCTGTTAGGAGTTAAGGGGGAGAGGCTGAGCGTCACCATGATGATGGCTGGTTAGGAGTTAAGGGGGAGAGAGGCCTGAGCGTCACCATGATGATGGCTGTTAGGAGTTAAGGGGAGAGGCTGAGGCGTCACCATGATGATGGCTGTTTAGGAGTTAAGGGGAGAGGCTGAGCGTCACCATGATGATGGCTGTTAGGAGTTAAGGGGAGAGGCTGAGCGTCACCATGATGATGGCTGTTGGAGTTATAAGGGGAGAGGCTGAGCGTCACCATGATGATGGACTGTTAGGAGTTAAGGGGAGAGGCTGAGCGTCACCATGATGATGACTGTTAGGAGTTAAGGGGAGAGGCTGAGCGTCACCATGATGATGGCTGTTAGGAGTTAAGGGGAGAGGCTGAGCGTCACCATGATGATGGCTGTTAGGAGTTAAGGGGAGAGGCTGAGCGTCACCATGATGATGGCTGTTAGGAGTTAAGGGGAGAGGCTGAGCGTCACCATGATGATGGCTGTTAGGAGTTAAGGGGAGAGGCTGAGCATCACCATGATGATGGCTGTTAGGAGTTAAGGGGAGAGGCTGAGCGTCACCATGATGATGGCTGTTAGGAGTTAAGGGGAGAGGCTGAGCGTCACCATGAAATGTGCAAATTGACATAAAAATTAATATAAGGGGGAAAAGTGCTCCATGTTTTTTAGGCTGTAAACTTTAACTGTTATGTAAGCCAACTAGACAGACAGTGTATCACTCTTCCTCCTGTACATTAACAGATCAAAGGCATCACATACTTGAATTAATGTTAAATAAAGAATGCTGGAAATAACTGCATCTCCATTAGCCTGTATGCTCTGCAGAGACTGCCTTCTTCATGTCCTGAATTGCAGCTGATGTTTTAATGGCAATTGGCAATTTGACTTATACAACATTCACAAGTTGTACATTTGACTCATACAATAACCCACCTTCGAGTGATACGCTAGTTTCTTCAAGTTTTGTTTTTTTCCCCTCTTGCTTGCTCCAGACTGAAACTGTCTTTTCACCGACATCTCTTCACCTGCACTAGTGGCCGTATCAAAGCCGTGATTGGTCAGATGTCGATTCATTGCAACGGTGTTGGGTTACAGACGTGCTCCCCTTGTCACCGCTCACTCTCGCGTGTCAGCCGGGGGTGCGCGGAGAACTGCGCACAGCAGCTGAGGCCCTCTGGGCGGGTCCCCCTGCGCAAGGCGGGGCCCCATGCAGCCTGCGTGATTGGCCTGGAGGGAGGGGCGGCCCTGTATATATTAAATGTACCTGTAGTTTTTGCACACCTGGTGGTAAAAAAAAGACTAGTAGTGAGCAAATGACATGAGCATTACTACTATGAACAAAACAAGAACAGTTTTGACTCTTCAAAGTGACCATATTTATTTTCCCAAATAAAGTTCTTGCCTTTTTCAAAAGCCTCGTGGATAGGTAAAAGCCCCGGTGCCTTTGCAGCTGGCTTTGGATTCGCCGCTAGTTTAGCAGCGCAGGCGTCTTCGTACGCTTTTAACACACCATCGTAGCGATGGCGATGTTTCAGGTGACTGATCAGGTTGGAAGTATTATAGCTCGTTGCCTTTTTCCCTCCTCGTGGAACTTCTGCATTTGTTAATACAAATAGCAAGCGAACTATCTAACTCTGAAGCTTTGAAATAGTCCCATACCACCGACTACATGTTTGTTTACTGTCCTGGCTTCACGGCCGCACACCATTTAGGTCACAGCCAGGCATGAGTTAGGGAGCGCTGGATTTGTGAAAAACTCCCCTCTTCCTAAACCACTAATACCACAGTACTGGCAAAACGGGAGGAGCCGAGTGAAAAACAAGCGCCCCTCATCCCAATCCACCCACACCGCAGTATTGTTTTCATTTTTTTTACCCAAAAACTATATTGTATATTATCGGGGCTATTAATACTGTTATCGGGATGACGTCATAATTCCTAATATCGGACCGATAATTATCGGGCCGATAATTATCGTGCACCACTAAAAAGGGACTTCCTGTCTTCAGGTGTGCTTCCTGTATAATAATAAAGGGACTTCCTGTCTTCAGGTGTGCTTCCTGTATAATAATAAAGGGACTTCCTGTCTTCAGGTGTGCTTCCTGTATAATAATAAAGGGACTTTCTGTCTTCAGGTGTGCTTCCTGGAGTCCGTGGATAAGGCCACGCTCTGCTGTCCTCTCTGCAGGAAGAGAATCTCCTCGTGGGCGCGGCTGCACAGCAGGAAGAACTCCATGGTGGATCAGAAGCTGTGGAGCAGGATCCAGAGCAGCTTCCCCCTTCAGTGTGAGAGACGAATCAGAGGAGAGGAGGAGGAGCCGGGAGGTACACACACACACACACACACACACACACACACACACACACACACACACACACATACAGAGACAGACACACACAGAGACACACACAGAGACACACACAGAGACACACAGAGAGAGAGACACAGACACACACGCACACACAGACAGATACACACAGACACACACAGAGAGAGAGACACAGACACACACACACAGAGACACAGACACAGACGCGCACAGACACACACAGACAGAGAGACACACACAGACACACACACACACAGACACACACAGACACAGACATACAGAGAGAGAGAGAGACACACACACACACACTGTAGTACTGTTAGGATACAGCTGTACTTCTTATTTGTGTGTGTGTGTGTGTGTGTGGTCTCAGTGTTTTTTCCCAGAGTGTGTCTGCCTGGAGAGCTGAAGCAGGAGTACGAGGATCAGGTCTCCAGAGTAAGTTTAACTGGATGAGCACACACACACACACACACACACACACACACACACACACACACACACACACACTGTGAGACTGACCGTTGAGCGGCCCACACCAAGCAAGGAGGCAGAGGCAGAACGTCCAAAAATATAACCCGACGTGGGCATTTATTAAAATCATGTGCACAAAGTTCACAGCCTCAATCCTGCTGTTCTCCTTGAACACATCCTGCAGCCACAAGGATCTCACACACACACACAGTTACAAGGAAACAGCACCTAACAACACACAGGTGAGGGGGGAGGAGACAACACAGGACACCAGGTGCACACAATCATCAGCCACAGACATCAACATATTATTTGCACCCTGATTACTCTCAACCACTGTCATCCTTACACCAGCATAACTCCTCTCGGCGCTCTCGCAAACTCCCCTATCTTTCCAGGCGGAGCCGAGGACCCGACCGGCACCTGCCAGACGACGTTCCAATCAATACGGTTTAATCAGTTAAAAAATACTAGCTCAATAATTAGTATAAATTATGTGCAAATATGTAATGTCAACTGTGCTGTGCAATCACGCTAATAAAGTGCAATATTACCCAGCCCGAAGCCGTCAGTCCATAGTGACGAAGTTACCTTCGTCACGCACACACACACACACACACACACACACACAATTACCTTCACTGTTCAACATTTCACGTGAGAGGCTGTTGTTGACGTGTTGTTTGTTTCATCTGATGGAGGAGAGGCTGTTGTTGACGTGTTGTTTGTTTCATCTGATGGAGGAGAGGCTGTTGTTGACGTGTTGTTTGTTTCATCTGATGGAGGAGAGGCTGTTTGTTGACGTGGTTGTTTGTTGTTCATCTGATGGAGGAGAAGCTGTGTGTTGACGTGTTTGTTTGTTATTCATCTGATGGAGGAGAAGCTGTTGTTGACGTGTTGGGGTTTGTTTCATCTGATGGAGGAGAGGCATTGTTGACGTGTTTGTTTTGTTTCATCTGATTGGAGGAGAAAGCTGTTGACGTGTTGTTTTGTTTCAATCTGATGGAGGAAGAAGCTGTTGTTGACGGTGTTGTTGTTCATCTGATGTAGGAGAGGCTGTTGTTGACGTGTTGTTTGTTGTCAATCGATGGAGGAGAAAGCTGGTGTTGACGTGTTGTTTGTTTCATCTGATGGAGGAGAAGGCCTGTTGTTGACGTGTTTGGTTTTGTTTCAATTCATCTGACTGAGGAGAGGCTGTTGTTGACGGGGTTGTTGGTTTCATTCTGATGGAGGAGAAGCTGTTTGTTGACGTTTGTTTGTTTCATCTGATGGAGAGGCTGTTGTTGACGTGTGGTTTGTTTCATCTGATGGAGGAGAAGCTGTTGACTGTGTTGTTTTTCAATCTGATGGAGGAGAGGCTGTTGTTGACGTGTTGTTTGTTTCATCTGATGGAGGAGAAGCTGTTGTTGACGTGTTGTTTGTTTCATCTGATGGAGGAGAGGCTGTTGTTGACGTGTTGTTTGTTTCATCTGATGGTGGAGAAGCTGTTGTTGACGTGTTGTTTGTTTCATCTGATGGAGGAGAAGCTGTTGTTGACGTGTTGTTTGTTTCATCTGACTGAGGAGAAGCTGTTGTTGACGTGTTGTTTGTTTCATCTGACGGAGGAGAAGCTGTTGTTGACGTGTTGTTTGTTTCATCTGATGGAGGAGAGGCTGTTGTTGACGTGTTGTTTGTTTCATCTGATGGAGGAGAAGCTGTTGTTGACGTGTTGTTTGTTTCATCTGATGGAGGAGAAGCTGTTGTTGACGTGTTGTTTGTTTCATCTGATGGAGGAGAAGCTGTTGTTGACGTGTTTGTTTGTTTCATCTGATGGGGAGAAGCTGTTGTTGACGTGTTGTTTGTTTCATCTGATTGAGGAGAGGCTGTTGTTGACGTGTTGTTTGTTTCATCTGATGGTGGAGAAGCTGTTGTTGACGTGTTGTTTGTTTCATCTGATGGTGGAGAAGCTGTTGTTGACGTGTTGTTTGTTTCATCTGATGGAGGAGAAGCTGTTGTTGACGTGTTGTTTGTTTCATCTGATGGAGGAGAGGCTGTGTTGACGTGTTGTTTGTTTCATCTGATGAGGAGAGCTGTTGTTGACGTGTTGTTTGTTTCATCTGATGGAGGAGAAGCTGTTGTTGACGTGTGTTTGTTTCATCTGATGGAGGAGAAGCTGTTGTTGACGTGTTGTTTGTTTCATCTGATGGAGGAGAAGCTGTTGTTGACGTGTTGTTTGTTCATCTGATGGAGGAGAAGCTGTTGTTGACGTGTTGTTTGTTTATCTGATGAGGAGAAGCTGTTGTTGACGTGTTGGTTTGTTTCATCTGATGGAGGAGAGCTGTTGTTGACGTGTTGTTTGTTTCATCTGATGGAGGAGAAGCTGTTGTTGACGTGTTGTTTGTTTCATCTGATGGAGGAGAAGCTGTTGTTGACGTGTTGTTTGTTTCATCTGATGGAGGAGAAGCTGTTGTTGACGTGTTGTTTGTTTCATCTGACTGAGGAGAAGCTGTTGTTGACGTGTTGTTTGTTTCATCTGATGGAGGAGAGGCTGTTGTTGACGTGTTGTTTGTTTCATCTGATGGAGGAGAGGCTGTTGTTGACGTGTTGTTTGTGTCATCTGATGGAGGAGAGGCTGTTGTTGAACGTGTTGTTTGTTTCATCTGATGGAGGAGAGCTGTTGTTGACGTGTTGTTGTTTCATCTGATGGAGGAGAAGCTGTTGTTGACGTGTTGTTGTTTTCATCTGATGGAGGAGAAGCTGTGTTGACGTGTTGTTTGTTTCATCTGATGGAGGAGAAGCTGTTGTTGACGTGTTGTTTGTTTCATCTGATGGAGGAGAGGCTGTTGTTGACGTGTTGTTTGTTTCATCTGATGGAGGAGAAGCTGTTGACGTGTTGTTTGTTTCATCTGATGGAGGAGAGGCTGTTGTGTGACGTGTTGTTTGTTTCATCTGATGGAGGAGAAGCTGTTGTTGACGTGTTGTTTGTTTCATCTGATGGAGGAGAAGCTGTTGTTGACGTGTTGTTTGTTTCATCTGATGGAGGAGAAGCTGTTGTTGACGTGTTGTTTGTTTCATCTGATGGAGGAGAGGCTGTTGTTGACGTGTTGTTTGTTTCATCTGATGGAGGAGAAGCTGTTGTTGACGTGTTGTTTGTTTCATCTGATGGAGGAGAGGCTGTTGTTGACGTGTTGTTTGTTTCATCTGATGGAGGAGGAGAGAAGCGTTGTTGACGTGTTGTTTGTTTCATCTGATGGAGGAGAGCTGTTGTTGACGTGTTGTTTGTTTCATCTGATGGAGGAGAAGCTGTTGTTGACGTGTTGTTTGTTTCATCTGATGGAGGAGAAGCTGTTGTTGACGTGTTGTTTGTTTCATCTGATGGAGGAGAAGCTGTTGTTGACGTGTTGTTTGTTTCATCTGATGGAGGGAAGCTGTTGTTGACGTGTTGTTTGTTTCATCTGATGGAGGAGAAGCTGTTGTTGACGTGTTGTTTGTTTCATCTGATGGAGGAGAGGCTGTTGTTGACGTGTTGTTTGTTTCATCTGATGGAGGAGAAGCTGTTGTTGACGTGTTGTTTGTTTCATCTGATGGAGGAGAAGCTGTTGTTGACGTGTTGTTTGTTTCATCTGATGGAGGAGAAGCTGTTGTTGACGTGTTGTTTGTTTCATCTGATGAGGAGAGGCTGTTGTTGACGTGTTGTTTGTTTCATCTGACTGAGGAGAAGCTGTTGTTGACGTGTTGTTTGTTTCATCTGACTGAGGAGAAGCTGTTGTTGACGTGTTGTTTGTTTCATCTGACTGAGGAGAAGCTGTTGTTGACGTGTTGTTTGTTTCATCTGATGAGGAGAAGCTGTTGTTGACGTGTGTTGTTTGTTTCATCTGATGGAGGAGAAGCTGTTGTTGACGTGTTGTTTGTTTCATCTGACTGAGGAGAAGCTGTTGTTGACGTGTTGTTTGTTTCATCTGACTGAGGAGAGGCTGTTGTTGACGTGTTGTTTGTTTCATCTGATGGAGGAGAAGCTGTTGTTGACGTGTTGTTTGTTTCATCTGATGGAGGAGAAGCTGTTGTTGACGTGTTGTTTGTTTCATCTGAGGAGAGGCTGTTGTTGACGTGTTGTTTGTTTCATCTGATGGAGGAGAGGCTGTTGTTGACGTGTTGTTTGTTTCATCTGATGGAGGAGAAGCTGTTGTTGACGTGTTGTTTGTTTCATCTGATGGAGGAGAAGCTGTTGTTGACGTGTTGTTTGTTTCATCTGACTGAGGAGAAGCTGTTGTTGACGTGTTGTTTGTTTCATCTGATGGAGGAGAAGCTGTTGTTGACGTGTTGTTTGTTTCATCTGATGGAGGAGAAGCTGTTGTTGACGTGTTGTTTGTTTCATCTGACTGAGGAGAAGCTGTTGTTGACGTGTTGTTTGTTTCATCTGATGGAGGAGAAGCTGTTGTTGACGTGTTGTTTGTTTCATCTGATGGAGGAGAAGCTGTTGTTGACGTGTTGTTTGTTTCATCTGATGGAGGAGAAGGTTGTTGACGTGTTTGTTGTTTCATCGATGAGGAGGAAGCTGTTGTTGACGTGTTGTTTGTTTCATCTGATGGAGGAGAGGCTGTTGTTGACGTGTTGTTTGTTTCATCTGATGGAGGAGAGGCTGTTGTTGACGTTGTTTGTTTCATCTGATGGAGGAGAGGCTGTTGTTGACGTGTTGTTTGTTTCATCTGATGAGGAGAGGAGGCTGTTGTTGACGTGTTGTTTGTTTCATCTGATGGAGGAGAAGCTGTTGTTGACGTGTTGTTTTGTTTCATCTGATGAGGAGAAGCTGTTGTTGACGTGT